GTTTTTTAAGGTCAAATAATAGTATTTGTACATACAGTACATGTACTGTAAATGATGCATTGTTTCTTTTACTACTCTTTTTACCTTGTCTTGCAAATAAATTCTCATTTTAATCATTATTTGGTAAATTATTTGTTTTCCGTGATGGTATAGGTAGGGTTATGCTGCATTCCAGACAACTCGGATTTAGGATATTTCCCACTTCAACCCGGAAATAATTTATGGAACGTCGCTCTTTTAATGTTTACAGATAGTTGTAATGTTTTAATGCTACTAATCATTAGTAACATTAATGTTTTAATGTTACCAAGTAGCCTACTTTAATGTCTAAATCCAGACGTTACTTCCAGGTTTGTGGTGGGAAATATTCCACATCCGAGTTGTCTGGAACGAAGAATTCGTTCCCTTTCATGGGAACTTCGAACTGCATCCTCTAGGGGTCGCTATGGGGAACGCCTCGTCGTGACCCGTGTCTGAAGCATACATTGAAAAAACACCAACTCGTTGGCCGGCGACAGCCATGACGTAACTACCGGTGCGACTATAGACGCAGTGTCTCGTTCCCTACTCAGGGAACCATGGTTACATAAGTAACCTGAGACGTTTTTTTTGTTTGTTTTTTTGTTTTGGAACGCAGCATTAGTGTAATGTGTGTGTGTGTGTGTGTGTGTGTGCGTGCCCGCATTATGACGCAGATTCAAATTTGCCGCCAATTTAGCTCCGCCCACGATGGTTGGCTGAACTGTTTCTGTACTGTACGACACGACAGCGATGGAACGGCGTGCAAATTATTTGAATTTATTTCAGGCTATCCATTCGGAATTGTGTGAGAAAATAATGCGCTCTTTCTACAACAAATTCTGACGATACTACAGCAGACATCATGACAATTGCCAACCGACCGAGGTAAGTCTTTCATACAACATATTTTATATAGTGTGGCTGCACATTTGTGTTAAGTGTAGTTTCGAAGCTAAAATTAGCATCTCTAAATGGTGGTCAGTCACATAACTGGCGTCGATAGCTAAAGGGCAAAACACTAAAAACTGCAGCATGTTTGTAAGAAAGATCAGTTGACCTCAAAAGACTCAAAACAAGCTTTAGTAAACTTGTTATTCATATCAAAGTTTGTTCGAGTGTAACGTTATATAAAGACTTTGCTCATCTGAAAGTACCCGCCACTTTTCAAACTCTTAAACGGCGGGTAATTTTGAAACGCTGAACGTGGCTAACTGTATCAAAACAGTGTTGAGAGTGAAATCAGTAGGCTATAAGTTACACCTTATTGATTATGAATATGAACGCAACATGGTAAATTGCAAGGTAGGCGCTTTTTCCCCCTTTCATATTCTCCTTTACATGTACATAGTAAATTTTATTAAGAAGTATACAGAATTTGGTCCTCCATTGTCACTGTCTTAATGCGTTAAACGTTTTGTAATGGTTTTCTATGGGAAAACACAACTTGAAATTAAAAAGCATTGCATTCCCATTCTGGGCGCATTTGCTCACCTACACATATTAAGTCAAGTCAAGTCAAGTCACCTTTATTTATATAGCGCTTTTAACGATACAGATTGTGTCAAAGCAACTGAACAGCATTAATTAGGAAAATAGTGTCAATAATGCAAAATGACAATAGTAAACACAAATTTTTCAGTTAAAGACAGTTCATCATTGAATTCAGTGATGTCAACATCCAGCTCAGTTTAAATAGTATCTTTGCAATCAAGTCAACGGTATCGCTGGAAATGAAGTGTCCCCAACTAAGCAAGCCAGAGGCGATATTATGCGTGTATAAGTGCATACGTTAATCTTATAAGTAATCATTTATATAATCTTTGTATCCTAGGTAGTAATATGATGCAGCTAAGTCAAAGTAAATAATATAAATTTACTTTCTATAAATTTAGTTAAAATCACATGGCGGACCAAAACATCACTGTTATCCTTTCCAGGGGGCTGTTTCATAAAACAAGTTTACCAAATAAGCCAGGTTTATTTCAGTTAGACTGACTTCTTGACAGTTGATTTGGTTCAAAATAAGTCAGACTAACTGAAATAAGCCTGACTTATTTGGTAAACTAGTTTTATGAAACAGCCCCCTGCTCAGCTTCCAGATCATTGTCTTAGTGGAACATAGGCTGTAATGTGTGAATGTAATACAAAGTATTAAAAAATGTTTTTTTTTGGTTTCAGGCCGTGTGGAAAGACTGTGGAGATCTATAGCAGATAAGCATGGCAATTCAGGTGTGGCACAAGCCAACTTTTGTTATCATTATTATTATTAATATTATTTAAATCTGTAATCAGCATAGACAAGTGTTCTAATGCCATATGATAATACAACAAATTCTGTATTTTCTTTTCATGCAGCTCTTTCTTTCTTTCTTTCTTTGTGTATAATTTTCAGTTCCTATGTGGTAATGGGTAAATAAATAAACCAAGGACCATTTAAAACCAAAATCAGTGTAAAACAGTTGCATGAAAAGATGCCTGTGAATTTTATGAGGGGAAGCACTTTTAAAGAAATCTACAATATGTATTGTAACAACAGTCATTGTCATTTTAAGCAGAAGCCAAACTGGATGGATATATCTTGTGTCCTTTCTATATTCCACCTGTCACTGCTTGTCCTGACAGGCCGACACACTCTATGTGAATCACATAGAGAGCCATGGTCATGGAAGAATCAGAGCATGGAGAACCTCCCTAAAAACACAGATAGTAGCTCTCTGAACCCAGCTGTTTATCTGACCGTGTCTCAGAGCAGCAAATCACTGAGGAAATACACACATACACAAGACTTCCCCAAACAGACAAGGTTATTCAGATAAGAGTGAATTACTGCCCACAGGGCTTAGAGCAAGAGAAAGATGGCATGGTAAACTCATCTTCTCGACTGCTCGAGTTCAATTTAGACTTTTTAGGCTATAGCAGAGAACTCCCAGGATGTTTTGCAGCTCTAAAGAATTCTATCTCTCAGCTGTCACACTGCTAATCAGCAGAACAGCCTGGAAAACGCTGTCCAAACTAGCCCCAGAATCTCAATCTCAGTATTTTATATATACTATTTTAGTGAGGACATCTCATAGACGCACTGGATTTTATATGGTATGATGATATTTGCTAACCCTAACCCTCACACAAACCTGTTGATATCAGTACATTTAAAGCAAAACATTATTAATTCATTCATTTAAACAAGACTTTCAAATTGTGAGGACCACAAGGCAAAGACTGCTATTGTTTTCACATAAAGCTACTTGTATACGACCATTCAAAAGTTTGGGGTCAGTATGAGTTTTATATGCTTTTGTAAAAACATATAGAGTCTCTTACACTCACCATCAAAAATACAGGAAAAATAGTTATTGTGAAATTTGATTACAGTTTTACCTGTCTATTTTAATATGTTTTAAAATGTAATAAAAAAACCAATATAGCTATAGTAAAGCATAGCTAAGTAAACCCAAACACATATACACCAATATACAGAAAAGACACACTATCAGCAGTTTGCTGAGCTGGAAATGTTTAAGCAAGGATTTGTGAGTGGTGTAAAAGTAATCAGCACTGCACCTTACAATTCACGAGCAGATCAAAGTATGAATGATAAATGCTATTTATTTGCAATGCATACTCCATTTTTGATGCTGCTTCTAGTGGATTCTGCAATAAATTCAGCAAAAAAAAAAAAAGTTATCACACAATAATAAAAAGCCAATGTAAGATTTTAAAATGTTCCCAGATCGACAGGGAAATGTCCTGGAGGCCAAAAGGTCCAGACACAGATGATGGAGTGCACGAGTAATGTATGCAGACGTATGCAGTTCTCACTTTCACAAGCATGAGCAGTTTTCAGCCCCCTCTTATCACTTTTACATTAAAACATGTAAATAAAATAAGTCTATAGGTTGGCAAAATTGTCCTGTAAAGGCTCCAGAAGTTTGGGACTGTACTAGCTGGAAGAGTCACTTTGTTACATCACTTGCTTGAGGGCCCCGCGGAATTGACCACAGCAGTGTGAGGGATTTAGATATAAACAACCTCTTGACACTCAATTGTAATCCCTCACATCCCTATCAGGATTCAAACCAACAACCTTCCAAATGTGACCACAGTTGCAAATTCCTCACACTAATTTAAACACGATTCTCTCCTCCTTCAATTGTAAACTGTTCAGATCATTTTGTTGAGATTACAGCTAAACAGAATGCAATGCACAGGATGAGCCACTTTAGTTATTTTCCAGCCCATTTGGCACAACAGCCATGTGCCTCTCTAGCGAAAGCTTCGTTCAAAAATGACTTTTTATTACTGAACAACAAACAACACTATTCCACAGATCACACAACAAATCTTACTATCTAAAAAATTAGGACTTTCTGTAGACTTCTACTGTCCTTATATTAATTAACTAAAGCCAATCCTAACCCTAAGATAATAACTAAAAGATACAGAAAAAGAATATATATTATAATTATTATATGATACAATATTACATTTATAACATAAATACATATTTTATTTTTAGAAAAAAAAATAGTAATATATATATTGTAATATAATTATAATATACACATATATATATATATATATATTAATATAATTAATATTACAATTAATATAAAATATATGTATATATTATGATTGATAATAGAAAGAGAGAAAGAGAGAGACTGAAAAAATATATACTATAAAATATAAAAAGACATTAAAAATAAAAAAATATGATATAATATAAAGTTATATATATTACTGTATATTATATATGTCTCATATATAATACATCAAATATATATAATATGTCCATTTTTTATATCCAATAGAGTATATACTAAAAAAAACATTTATTAAATTAAAATATATATATTTATTACGCATTCCTAATAACATTATTCATTCCTAAATACATCCTTCATAAACTATAATATTTAAATATTTAATATTTAACTATACACATATCACTTCCAAACTGCTGTTACAATAACACGTACCTGGTGTATGAAGACCTGGGCAGTCCGGGGACTGAGCAGCAGGATGGCCCGTCTGAGCGTGTCCCGGTAACGGTTCAGCTCCTCCATCCTCATCGTGCTGAACAGAGTGGAAAAGACCTTTGTCACATTCCGGTCAACCTGTTGTAGGGACACGTCCAAACCCATTTGAGAAGCCTGGTCCAGAAACACACGCAGTCCCCGCACATCTGAAAGAGACCAAAAGATGACGGTTAAAAACCAAGACTCATGTGCAGAGAGCTAAAAACAGTATTTAAGAAGAAGCGCGAGATGAAAATAGATAAAATATAGACTAAGTATTTGATTTGAGATCAGAGATTTCCAGAGAGAATAACATCCAACCTAATTGTAAATTTCGTTCAGGGAAATGACGTTGAAAGGGACAGTAAGATCTGTGAAAATATCTAATTTTGTTTCACAAGAAGAAAGAAGGTCATATGGGTTTGGAACAACATGAGAGTGAGCAAATGAAGAGAGATTTTTTTTTTGTTGATCAACTATCCATTTAATCAATTTTTGAAAATTCTGTTACTTGCTATCGAGATTTGAGGAGTCTAGGAGAAAGAATCCTGTTTTCTTGTTCCGTTGCACATCACGGCTGACAAGTCACGTCGTGTTCAGTCTACTGAAGTGGCTTTTTGATGGCATAATCGTCTGGCATGGAGCTTTCTAACCACCTACTTGCCAAAAGGACACAAGAACCGTCCCCTAAAAGGGTCAAGACGCGAGAATGAGGCTTCAAGGTCTAATTAGCTATATAGACCAATTATAAAAATGCATGCATACTTCAACTTGACTGTGTTCATTTATGGTCTTCACTTTGAGCTGTAATTAAATTTTCATAGCATGACATTGAGGCAGTCAAAAAATGTGAAGAGCTATAACTTGTCTGCATCTTTTATATTTTATTTTTTCTTGTAGTCACTGCTTGAAAACAGAAGAAACAGAATACTTTCAAGAACCTATCAAAGTAAAGAAGCAGAATAGTCTGATAAAAAGTATTACGAAGAGCAGAAAATGTTTAGCCCATCTGCAGATAGCAGGGTGTTAACAGCAGCTTTATCTCCTCTGTAAACAAATCTAAATCAGTTTTTCAGTAGCAGCTGGTAGTTCTAAACTAGCTTCAAGACTCATGCTGCATCCAAATATACTTACTTCTATACTATATAAAATTAAATATTATTTCCACATTCATAGTAGACATCCTAGACAACCACTGCATCAGCCTAAGATCAAAGTGATGTTTTTAACATTATGTCTAAGACACATGGTTAAGTACAAAGATGACGATCTCCCTTTCTTTTTTTTTCTAATTAATTGTTTTTTATTTTTTTTATTTCAAGTCTCTCTTTTGCTTCAGGCATATATTTATTCAGACAACCACACAGTCCAGTTCTCAGGGTTACATTGCAACACAGGAAAGCTAATCAGGCATCAAGAATGATCAAACACCATTTTATTTTGTGCGTACGTGTGTACTTAATATACTTTATTATATCTCACCCTCTGTGCAATGTAGTTTGCTATGAGCTACAAACTATTTCCATGACAACTGACCATCAAAACAGATTGCTTGCCCCACACCGGCCTCAGTGTGCTTTCAAAACAACAACCAGCGAGAAAGTCTAATATTTTGAGCATTTGCAAAGAAATGAAATACAAGTGGGTTTAAATATTGAAAACCCTTTCAGCATCATTTTTCAATAATCTTATTACGATAGTAATTTTTTGTTTTGTTTTTGCATTTAAATTGTTATTTTCTTAATCCAAAAGCCTGCAAGTCATCTTACTGCATATGAAAAATGAAAACATGACGAATCATAAAAAATATACATATAAAAATACTACTACTACTACTACTATGAATAATAAGTTTTATTATTAGGTATAACATTTTTAAATAATATTATTAAATAACTATTATTATTATAGAAAAAATCTAATAAAATAACGACATTTTTTCATGACGCAAGAACATGTCACGGTTATGGACATTTGTTTCTTCGTTTAGTTCTGTTTTCCTTGTCTGTTTAGTTCCTTTAGGCCCTTGTTGTTCATTTGATCATTAGTTGATTATTAGTTAATCTCCGTCACCTGTCTGCCCCTCGTTAGTTGCACTACTTAAGTTCCCCATTCAGTTTCATTCATTGTCAGGTATTTATTGTCCTGTGAAGCTTGTGTTGGAAGTTTCTCTTCTCTCTTGGATTGCCTGTTCTCCTATGGATTTGGCATAAACTACGGTTTGAACTTTTTTTCTTTGTCGTGGGCTTACATTCATCGAGCACGTATTGTGACACATAGTGATGGCGAAGTGAAGCGTTCTGAACCAGTGAAGCTTTCATCACAATTGTATTGGAAAAAGGTTCATTACTCAAAGCTTTTTAAAACAGTTTATGCTGTGGCTATCTAGTGGTCATAAAAATAAATGACACCTTCCAAAGTGTTGTGTTCCATTACAGCCAGTGGTTTCACATGTGGTTCTACAACTGGTTTTTTGTTTTATTAAATCTTATATAAATGTTTGTCAAAGTCTTTCTTTTGTGTCGGTGTACTCACACTAAAATAAGTAAAATAAATAAAACATAAATTCATAAATTAAATCTATGTTTATTTTAACTCTGCCTCAGTCCTTAGACTGATATTTCATGGCCAAAGTTCATCTTTAAGCTCAATACATAAATTACGATAAAAAACAACGCTAACACATAATATAATGTAAAGGAAACGGTGCTGAGGTTTGCTTTGTTTGAACCAGATACTGAAGCAGTCATGTGGTTTTCAGACGAATGAAGCTTCGGACGTCATAGATCACGTGCTTTTCTCAAAACGTATCAAGCTGCTACAGTGCTTCAATGTCAAATGTGTTGTTTTTTTGATACAAGCTTCGAAGCTTCGGTGTTGAATGTAACATCACTAGTGACACGTGTAACTTTTAGAAAATGAATTGGCAAACAGATGAATTAATATCTCAGCCAAAAGAGACAAAGTGTAATGAAGCATGTGCTATAAAAAAACACATTGTTAAAATTAGAAAAGGAAAAAAGAAGGTTGACCGAAATTGTGAGGAATTTTTAAGAAGCTCCATGAAAATAGGTCAATTTAACCTACAGGTGATTGAGTGTCACTATATTTAGTGATGTTAGCAGTGCTTCAGTAGACATTCAGTATTCACTAGTACTGAGAAGTAGCACATAATCATTTCAAGCAGCTGTTATTTCTGTAAAAGAGTCAGAATTTTAACCATTTAAGAGCAGGACTAAAGCATGCTTTCTACATTAACAGCACAATTGAGAACGCAAGGCCAGATATAGCCTTGGTGCTATTAGCTAAGAAGTCCAGTTAATGGAAAATGTTACTTCACACTGCTTTAAGCTGATGAATGAACTTCAGCAAATACATCAGGAGGAATTGAATTTGAACCTCTTGAATAAGCTTAACATATTTAACTAAGTCAAAATATATTTGCAGTAATTAAATATTATGAACCTAAACAGATTTTAAATCAATTTATATGTCAAAAAATGGTATCAGGTTCTATGCGAATATGAAAATATATGCACATGCTACAGTATATGCTGAAACACACTTTATAAATGAATACCTAGGCATCACCAAATTCAATCAGTGAATGTCATATTTTGCTCCTTTCTTGATGTTAATGACTTAGGTGTGACTTAAAGGGGTGGTTGTTTGTGATTTCACATTTTAACGTTAGTGTGTAATGTTGCTGTTTGAGCATAAACAATATCTGCAAAGTTACGAAGCTGAAAGTTCAATGCAAACGGAGATATCGTCTTTTAAAGCAGCACTATGTAACTTTTTCTGTGTTCAAAATTTGCAAAATGTATATAATGAGCGAGTACATCATGAATTCATCTTCCAAACCGCGTTTTTGTCTTATTCCGAATCCCTACGGTACACTTATAATAAGTACTTATATTTGGACTATTGTAGCCTGGTCGGGTCGTCACCGCTGCGGAGTAACACATACCTGTGTGAATCGCCATAGACAAACTTAGAGAAGTAGCTCCAGTTGGAATGTTCTTGTGTTTATGGCCGGTCTGGAGTTTTACCCAAAATATGGTACAAATAGTATGATGCATTTCACGAACACATAGTGTACATCATTGTTTGAGGAATAAAGAGCAGATCATTTTGATACCAAGAACGAAACATCTAGAAGATCTTAAAGCAGAGATTCACTCATATACCTGAATATAAGCATTGAGAGTCTAACTAATTCAAATAAAGAATTGTAACTAGGCTAATACAATAGGGAAACATACAAACAACACATGCATATACCAGATACAGTTGTAACTGATTAATTATTGTCTAAATAAAGAAAGGTGGCCAGGACTGTAATTTATAGGCAAATGTCAAAGGCTAAAAGGGGTCTCTTAAGCCATAAAACCCCAAAGACCATCCATGATTTTACGCAGATGCTACACTAGCATTAAAAGCCATGCTTGCACAGGTTCTGCACGATCCTCTTCAATAATATCCTCTGCTTCTCAATCGGGCTCAAACTGATAAACGATATTAACGACGGCGTTGTTTACACAACCGGAGCACATGCTGCTGAGGTCAGGGGCGGGACATTTAGATGTGCACTAGAGGCGGTTTAGCCAATCACAACACACTGGGCTAGCTAACCAATCAGAGCCCATCGCCTATTTCTGAGGGCGGGGCTTCATAAAAGCAGGAAATGATCAGCGTATTTCTCAGAAAAGGGACAGAGCGGTGTGGAATAATGGTAAATGATGTGAAAAATAATGTGTTTTTTTTTTTAAAACGAAGCATTAACACGTTAGACTGCACCCCATAAACACAATCAAGCCTAGAAAAAAAACAGTGAACCACCCCTTTAAGAATGACCCATTGACATTCCCAACGCACAAACACTTCAATTTCCCCAAACTCACAGAGATTAGTTTCGCCATACCATCATAATTCAGTTATCACAGCTGTAGTTACAAACTGAAGAAAAAAATTTACTCCCTTAAGGAGACAGTCTCAGAAACATATAAACAAACAATGTGGAAATCTGTGGAAAGAAAGAGCTGAGAGAAGTCTTTTGAGAAACAAATTGGATTTGCTTAAAGAGTGTAATTATATATCTAAAGGCATATACAAGCTGCCGTCTCACTGGGCAAAAGTGAAGGAGGTTTAGAGGGAATCAATGGAG